AAAAAAAAAAAAAAAAACTCTAAATTTTTTTTGGACAAGTATGTGTCAGGGCCCTGAATGTTTCACAGAGCATGAATTTCAGTGGGGAAAGCTGATATTAAACAAATGATCAGCAATGCAGGATGCTATAGAAGTAGAAAGTAGGAGGTCTAAACTAGCTTTGGAGTTGGGCAGGGCTACGCTGACCACCAGCAAAAGGAATATTTAAACAACGCGTGTGGAAGCCCAGAGGAAGAGAAAGGAATTTGAAGAGTTCCAACAGTTCCCTAAATGCCAAGAGCTGGCAAAGAAGGAATAAAGCGGCCGTGAAAGGGGCAGGAGAATTGGAGACAGACTACTTAAAGAAGGCCTTATTAGCCCCGAGAAGGAGTTTGAAATTTTCCTGTGGGCCATAGATACTTACAGAAACGGTTTTTTGTTTTTGTTTTTAGGGAATAATATCATCTTTTGCGTTCACTCTCCTTGGTCCCTAAAGTCTTTTTCCTACATCCCAAAGATTTTTCCTTCAAAGCAAGTTATAATTCTGACACCTTTATTTTCATTTCTATGGCCGTTTTCTACTCTTGCTGAGGCTACCTAAATGAGTTGTAAGACTGTTTCAGAAGCCCTGTATGGTTTGAATGGAATATTTCCTCCTAAGTGCTTTTTATAATATTCGACATTATAAACAACAGACATACACTGGTGTGTTACAAATACCAATTTTTGTACTAGAAAATACCATTGTTTAGGCGGTATTCCATTTAATTGACTATATAATGAGTGCTAATCTGAATTGAAAAAAAACATTGCTCTAAATTGATCCCATTTTTATCTGTTCTATATGCTGGAGATCACAATTAAATTTCACTTGGAAAAAAGTCCTATTGCTTGAAAATTTTTTACTCACTGTCCTGGTGGGACTTGCTGCTTTTAGTTTTTCCCATCCTCTCATCAATCCTACCCACCACTTACAAATTCATCTATGAAAACATCAGAATGGTCTGAATAAAAATATTTACTTTTCTTTATTCCATCCATTAAATATGTCCAAGCCTCAATCTAACTTTTTAGACAGCTTTTACAACAAGAATCTCCTGGTCAAAATAAATTAGTGTGTTTTCATCTTTCTGTATGCTTTTTTCCCATCCTGGTACATTTATTTACAAGAATCCACTTATATCCAATAAGCTGTAGTCTTCCAATTTTACCTATCTTAATCTTATAAATCCTTCAAGCCACAGGCTAAATCCCGTATCTTATATAAAGATTTCCTTGATGAGGCCAACCAGCTCTCATACATTACTCTTCTGAACTTGCACTGACAATATATTTGCACGTTTCTTTGAAAATTGATTATATACAGTCTTATGTCATTTTCAATGTTGGTTCCTGTCACTCTTGACCAATTTATTTTAGTATTTAACTTTTCACATATTTATAGTGCCTTTTCCTCAAGTGTATTACAGTTATGAGATTGAACCGTTCTTGTTTTATTATACCTAATATAATATCTTAAAAAGAGTAGGTCATAGCATATGTATTGATTTGCATTGAAAACACACAAATCATTTCATTAATTAGGATGCTTCATTTTTTTCATAATTTATTTATTTGACTTAAGAAGCATTACTAAGTAAAACAGAAACACATAAGAGTAGGCTAATCAAAAGAGAACTGTCCATTTTCAGTATGAAGTGTGCTTGTTTTTCTGCTTCATAAATAGATATAATTAAATTTACTTTGTAAATCTTATTACAAAAAAGTCCTTTTCTTTTCTTTTTTTTTTGGGGGGGGGGTCCAAAAAGTAATAGGTGCACTTTCCTTACTTACATTGGTTTATTGCCAAGGATATCATACCTTGGAAAAAAGGAAGAAAATGTTTACACATTCAATCTTTCAAGTGAAAATGGTCTATTCTTTCCTAAGATATTTCTGACACTCCAGAGGTAGTAAGCTATCCTTACTTCTGAAAATCAAATAGGGATATACACATGAAATGAAAATTCGTAGAGAATATATTAGAAGAAATATGTGTTATATGCATCATGTGTTAAGGAAACATAGGAGAAGTTATAATTTGCTGTAATCAATTCATTTTTATTAATCAAATAATATCAGGGAAAGGAAAGCCTAACCATATAAATATTATTTTTGACATTGTTCAAATACATTGCTTAATGCATTAAATAACTAAAACATATTTCATTAGCTATTCCTGTTAACTAGAATGGGATGTTATCACCAATTTTTCCATGTCCTTATTTTTATAAAGATAATCTGGAACAGGAAGGAGCAAATTCTTTACCCCTTTGGGATAGCAAAGCTGAAAAATGTCCACAGATTCATCTTCTTTTTTTTTTTTTTTTTTTTTTTGGGACGGAGTTTCACTCTTGTTACCCAGGCTGGAGTGCAATGGCGCGATCTTGGCTCACCGCAACCTCCACTTCCTGGGTTCAGGCAATTCTCCTGCCTCAGCCTCCTGAGTAGCTGGGATTACAGGCACGCGCCACCATGCCCAGCTAATGTTTTGTATTTTTAGTAGAGACGGGGTTTCACCATGTTGACCAGGATGGTCTCGATCTCTTGACCTCGTGATCCACCCGCCTCGGCCTCCCAAAGTGCTGGGATTACAGGATTGAGCCACCGCGCCCGGCCTATCTTCTTACCGTGTGCCAAAAGAGGAAAAATGGGAAAAGAGGAAAAAAAAAAGGCTAGAAGGACCTGAAAGAATAAATGAAGGAAAGTTGGGGCATGGTGTATATTACATGAAGTAGAAGAATGGTCTGCTATCTTTATGGCATTCATGTCTTAATCCATTCCAAGCAACAAATACTTAGGTTTCATACAGTTACCGAAGAAAGGCGAGAAGACTCTATAAATTTTATGAAGTGTAGCTCTGTTTTCACAATTTCATTCACATTTTATAGATAGACATCTTATTTGAGTGATAGAATTTCAACTTTTTCTTGTAGTGACATTAAAAGGACCGTGAAAATGCTGCTAATGCCAAACCAAAGATCTTTCAGTCAACCTTTCACGGAGAAGCTTTTGCTCTTTGACTTATTGTCAGTGAACTATGTGGCATCATATTGTCTGTCTTGCCTGGTGAATAACGATAAAGGTGACAACAAATCGATGCTGCATGTAAATGACCTTGTAAAAGGCCAGATACAAATACCAAATTACTAATAAAGATACAATAAAGCTCACCACTGGCTGAAACTTGCCAATCTCTAATTGCAGTAACAAAGAAAAGCTCCACTTTTCCATTTAATTGCCATTGAATTCTTCCTAGAATCATATGACTATGATAAAATGCATTGTATTTATAGCTAGGGATTAATACATTTTGACAATTTTTGTCAAGCTGAGAGAGGCATATTGGTGGGAGAAAATATTGCTATATTACTGAATTAACAATTAAATACTTTTTTGTTGGGCAATTGATAACTTGATATTCTGATATTTTTTATTTTATTTCGGTATTTACTTTGATATGTGGGGAAAGGAAGGCTTAGAATGAAAAATGATGATATCTAGGCTCTTAGAAACAGTACTAAATATTGTAACAAAAAACTAGAGACATTAGTTTCAAGATGATGGTTACCATTTACTAGGTATATCTCCTAAATATGTACCTTTCCTGCAACCCAATGCTATTGCTTTGTTTTATTCCCTTATCATTTACATGATATTGGCCATTCTACTGCAATATTCTATGCTTTATCTACCTGCCCCAGCCTGGCATCCTCCAATTCGTCATCTGTACTCAAAGATCAGAATTCCAGTATGACATACAAGGCTTCACAATTGCCTTCAAAACATCTTCTTAATCTCCTACCCTATGCATATTTCAGACTCAACAAGCCTCCAACATCAGCAAAAAATTGATAAAGGGCACAGACAAGCAATTAAGTGCAATATGAGGAGCACTACAGAGGAGCAAGCTTTAGGAATAACAAAAACAGAGGCAAATAACCTTCACTAAATAAGGTTGGGTTTCAAAAGAATGACTAATGGGGCTATTTGCCATTTCCCACTTTCTTGTTTTTTATTGTATTATATTTATTTTCTTTTTTGTCTTTGGCCAGTAAATTTCTCTCCATTTGCACAAAAATGACAACAATAGTAACATTTTGTTACAGTTGTTGACTATCTATTCTATGTCTAGACCATTTTTGGAGAGAGACTTTTCTTGTTATTCTTTGTCCTTATTTTTGGCTCAGTGCCTGGCATCCAACAGCCACCACATGTGGTTCTATTATTTGTGAATAAATGATTCTAGATTCACCTCAAAAATTAACTTCTACAAGCTTTCCCCTGGCATCCCTGGTATACATGATTGCCCCCGTCTGTTGGGAAATTATTAGTTCTTCCTCATTGCTGAGTTAGGATTGTCACATAAAATTGTGTATGTCTGTGTGTGTCTGTGTGTGTGTGTGTGTGTGTGTGTGTGTGTATGCATATGTGTGTGTGTCAGGAGCAGGACAGTGTTTATTAGTGTCTAATTTCTAATAAGTATCAAGAGCAAAAATGTTTCTAAATTTTTTATATTTTGTATATCAAGAAAATCTTAAACCTGAATTATGAATGTTCCAAATTATAGAAAAATTATTTAGAAGATGTCTTCTAAAGATTTCCTCTGTGAATTACTTAATATTAATATTGTGAATAGTGGAATACTCTACTGTGTTCAATAATCTTTTCTTTTTCAGTATCATATGGTTTACCGATTAGAAAACATAAAAGTATAAGGAATACATCAAGAAATGGACAAAACCATGCCCAATCTATTAATGTCTATTTGTCCTTATTATATTAATATGTGATTTTATTATAAACAATTAAAATAATAATTTTCAAGTGTTTAAAAACTGAGCTCAAAACATAAGGAAATTGAATTTTGTTGTCAGTATTACTGACTGGCTAAGATCCAACCACTATTTTTAGTAAGAATGATAACATTTTAAAGCAAATACTATGTATTTAAGACAAACAAAAACTTGAAGGTAAGTAACTCAAAATACATACATATATATATATATATATATATACACACACACACGTATATATATACATATATACATATATATATAAAGTTTCCAAATATGTAAAAACAATTTTGTGTTTTATATCTTAATTATACTGAAACTAATTTGTGTCCAATAATAAAAATTTTCACCATCTATTATTTCATGAATATTTTCAATTCCACTGGAAGGTAATGAAATAGTGAGAAGTTTAGCACTGATTTTGATTTAATTAGTTTTATTGCAGGGGTTACAGGAATTATGATAGTCTATGTGTTTTCTGTAGATTCAACAGGGAAAAAAATTCCAAATTATCCACAGTTTCATGTGATCTGAGTTCAAGTCTTTATGTATATAAAGCTTTAACAGCACTACTTCCTCTTCCTATTTTATGAGTCCCCATTTCTCTCTTCTCTGACTATAGCTTTTAAAATGCAGATTTCTACGCTCCTTAATAATCTTTTCTTGTGAAATACACCTCTTTGGTTTTTCTTTGCTCATGATTCATGTGGCACTGACATATTTATAATATTAATATAAATTAAGATTATATACAGGATTTTATTATTTAAGTTAGAGAAAGAGGACACAGGATATGCTTTTAGCTTCCCATTTCAAATGTGAACTTAAAAAAGTAAAATAGTAATATATGCATATATAATAAGCACTACAATCTCAGAGAGACAAATGAAAGCTTTTGGAGGGAGAGGAAGACATAGACAAAAACTATTTATATATGTGTATGTTTACATATATATAATGCATATACAAACTATATATGTGTATATATATATATAATATATCAAAAAAGACAAATGATATCATTAAAGGAAGCTAATATTGTGACATAGAAAATTCCCATTAGAAAAATTAATCTGAAGACCTTGAAGACAACAGTTATGTACAAAGAAAAGAAAATGACAAAAAAATTTTTAAGCATGAGTATGTGATTTTTTTAACCCAGGCAGTAAATAAACCATTATAGAAATAAACAGATATGTTGTAATATCTAAATATTTCTAAGTAAAAAAAATTGTGAAAAGAAAAACTGCTTTTATTGTATGTTTTTAGCTTACATAATGACCCAGTCAAAATAACAGTGATATGGGAATTATAAGGAAGACAAAGCCTTTAGAGTTATTAAACTAGAAAGGAGGCTATGACTTTTTGACCAGGGTTTTTTTTTTTTTTTTTTTTTTTTGGAATTAGAGGATTAAAAAGTATCAATGTCTTTGTGTTTAAAATCATTTAAGGCTTAAACTAACAGAGGAAAACTAACTCTTGTGAGACACTTGGGAAAGAATAAGGCAACTGGTCACATTTAAAGGCCCTCAAAGGAAATTTTATAGCTTAAAAAGGTTTCCTTACAGAGTGTGCATTGGCTCTAATATTGTTCTGGCCCCTAAATTCCCATCAGAGCTGATGATTAAAGTTCTACCCACTGGCCAGGTCCCTACAATTATCCCATTGTGATGGTGCTCTACAGTGGCGCCCTGCTATGGCCAGACATCAAGTCATTAGAGAACTGCAAGGGATGATGAAGAAGGTTATTTTAATTCCCTTTTCAGCCCTTCTCAGGAGTGGCTCTTTAGTTCACAGAGCTGTGGGTACTTGCTTTCAAACTAACAAGCAATATTATAAATGGAGGCTGCATTATCATGATTGCAGACAATCTAAGGCACTTGAAGGCCAAGGATTCTCAGTCTTCAATATGCGCTGTTTTGTATTTATCAGCTAAACATATATAGACAGTGCGAACAATAAAAGAGAGGAAAATGCAATGAACATGGTGGTAGGGGGCAAAGGAAACAATAAGAGAACACAAGATGATGGCAAAAAAAAAATGAACAACAGAGAGGAGAGGAGAGCCCTGGCCATTTTGTTAGGAAATAAAATATTTTTTACCCATTTTCTTGTTGTTCCACTGCATAGTGTTCCAGCTCTGTACCGGGAAGGGGCTGGACTGGGGGAGGAGGTAGGGGGACATTGGCCCAAGTGGATCCGTTGTTTTTCTGTGATTTAGAAGAGTTTTTATTTTTCTTCTTTTTTCCACCTTTCCCACCTGAAAGTAATGATGTATTTATTCAGAGATGCCAAATATCAGAATCAATAGAATATATCAGATGGCAGTATTTATGTTTCAAAACACCAGAATCAGTCTGTTGGAGTTGTTAAAAGCTATAAACAATGAAATGATATAATAAGGAAAATATTTTAATAAATCACTCAAAGTGATACTACTTTTTTTTCCCAGTGCATTAACAGCGAGCTGAATAAACCAAAAACATGGCTACTGTATCAAAAGCATGCTTATTGATTTATTCATGTCTGCTGCCTGCACGTTTTCATTGTTAGAGGAAATAATGGGCCATAACAAATTCTTTTAAATGTCAAATTTTAGTACACTTACAATACTCTTTTGCATAATTTCTCTCAGTGGAAAATGCAGGGTCTAAGGATACAGGCTAAACTTTTCCATTAGAACTTATTCAATTTAATTAATCCAGGAGAGTAACAATTTTTATCTTAAAAGTAACTGATAAAAATCAATCAGCTACAATCGGGAAAATAACTGTAAATATTTCACCAAGATACATTTTATAGACTTTTAAACTAATGAATGGCATGATTATTTTTGCATATAAATGTGAATAGTTCTTAGCTATTTTAAGCATAACATTTCATAACATTCCAAAAAGGAGGGAAAATTAATACAGTAATCAGTTTCAGGAGCATTGTAATACAAATGAAATCACGCACAAAATAAGAGGAGAAAGTAAGTCGGCAGCATATGAGCCATATCTAGGATTACACGGAGCTTAATGAAATATACTAAATATAATTTATCATTTGGACAGTGCCATAGTTTTTATTCTTCCAAAATTAAGCAAATAAAGCTTCTTCCTTAAAGGTGGACCACAGTTAGATGAGAAATGAGTACTTCTTGGAGCAGAATAACAAAGGGCGTTTCAGTGGACCCTATGTAACTTCCATGACTCCCACCACAGCCTACAGCAATATATCTGCTAAAAATCTAACTGATCCTTGGGACTTCATCTTTCTGGTACTACAAGTTGTGAGCAAAAATATATTTGCAGCAGGGCTATGTAGCAATATATCATAGTATCACTAGAAGTCTACTCTTCTCCTTTCTTCTACCAATTACTCATCTGCATCAGCCAAATCAGAATATTATGTAATTTAATAGCAACATATTTGAGCACCAGGAAGTGATAAAACTGTTAAACTAGAGATATACTTTATTGCCAGTTATAAAATTGTATACGTTTTCCACATAGCATGCATACCTACACACATTTAAAAGAATATTCCTGCACACAAATTGTTTTGCCATGCCTTTCATTATACTTGTTTGGTAGTCTGCTTAGAGGATAAGAGTTTGGTTTTGGGTTTACAGACCAGTTTCCCACTTACTAGATAAGTTACTCAATAGTTACTGCCTACGTTTTCACATGTAAAACAGATATAAAGTTACTACTTCTTTGACTTGTTTTGAGAATTACAAGAGACAATGCATATCAAGTGCTCAGAATGTACCGAACATTCAATAAATATCACATATTGTATTCTTCCTTTCCCACACCCTCTATTTTAGAGCAAACCGAGCTCCTCTCGAGTTCTAAAGCTTTTGCTACTCCCAACTTCTCCAGGCCCAATGAGTAGCCCGCAAACAGCCTGACTCTCAGAATAAGAATAAACTTGCTTTACTATAAATCTGTAATGGTTTTCTTTAAGGTAGATGAATCCTTCTGCTTCCTGATGAGTTGGCAAAATTATAACACAGAGACCATCTTTTCTGCTGTAGTATCAGAACTCCATTTCAATGATTAAAAGGGGAATAGTTTAAGCTACTTGTCTTTGTAGCTTTCTCTCTAGTTACACCTCCTTTATTCCTTATTTATTTATATATTAAAAAAACGTATTTCATTTTCCATGGTACCTTTAGAAATGTTAGGTGATCACCACCAGAACTGAGTGACAGAAATAGACAAGTTCTTGCATCTCCGTTTATAGATGATGTAACTGAGGTTCACTCCAAGTGTCATGTGGTCTATAGTCACTCAGTAAGAGAAAAGTCAGAATTCGGAGTGCAGCAGATTTTTACTGGAAATTACTACTTCTAGAGCCCTGAATTCTGCTGAACTCATTTTCCAAAGTTCAAGAAAGCCATTTATTACCTACTCTTCCAAACAGATTTAAAAATGTATTTTGGAAACAGAGGTGATTCACAAAAGAAATTTGTGGGGGCTTTCTATCCATCATCCACTTTCACTTCTTTGGGGAATATTTCTGCTCTCTCATTGTGGGCAGTATGGGTAGGATTACTAATCAACACACCTTACTTCTTTTAGCAGTGAGCTAAGTGGTAGGCTCATAGCATGGTGGAGACCACATGACAGAACCAAAGCCACTTACATTCTCTGACATCTGAATCTTGAGTGAAGTGAGCCACAGTCTATTGCTGTTACTTGTAAACAAAGAACACTCAATCATTTTAAGGTGAGAATTGCCTATATTATCTTTTAAGAGAAAATATTTTAATGAATTACACATATATTTAATTTAGGAGTATATAACGTGTGTGTGTGTGTGTGTGTGTGTGTGTATTTTTTTTTTCCTTTGGACAGGGTCTTACTCTGTCACCCAGGCTGGAGTGCAGTGGTGTGATCACATCCACTGCAGCCTCAACCTTCGAGGCTCAAGCATCCTTCTACCCCAGCCTCTCAAGTAGCTGGGAATACAGTCGAGCACCAGCATACTTGACTAATTTTTGCATTTCTTTTAGAGATGGTGTTTTGCCATGTTGCTCAGGCTGGTGATTTTATGTTTTCAGTGATGAGATTTTTAACGGAAGTGCTCAGAACTTGTGTATTGAATAACTTATAAGTGTTTCAAAGAAGGTGATACACTCACTCAAATATTTCACTATGATTATTTTAAATTGCTTACATTGCTATGCACAAATTAAGAAAATCTTATAATAATACCATATGATTAGCTATCCACAAGGTGGTTTGATCTTAAATTTAAGCCTTAGGAAACATACCTATGATTACAAGCATAAAACAAAACTCTAATATTAAACTCAATTGAACTAAACTAAAAAGAGAATAATCACTCTCACCTACTAAAGAATGCTTTCTATCATCAATTTAAGTAATTTTGCATTCAAATGTAGATGAAGTAGTTAATATAATTCATAGATATATATAAATGTCACTCAGGAGATTAATGGATTCAAAAAAGCACTAAGCACTATTGTGAACCGTGTTCTGCTTACAATTACTCAAAAGATAACTTTTAAAACTTGGTGGTGGCAATCAACACATTGAATACTTAAAGAAAGATTTTTAAAGTCTTAGTAATCTTAGAGATTTTTAAAAATCTTAGGCTTATAGTATATAGATTTATTTTTACATACTGCATGTGACTTTACATATCTTTAATAAAATAAAAAGAAGCCCAGGATAAATTACTTTTTAATTATTCAGAACAATTATGAGACTTACTATAAATAAATGGCAGTCTAAATGACATATAAGGTCATTCAAAAAATTCTCCTATATTATTAAACTCGTTTAAATTCATAACAGATGTTTAAAATTTTCTGGATTCTATAATATATCTAATCCTACCAATAGGCAAGAAGAGCAAATGACTCATTTTGAAGGGAAGAGGGAGCATTAACATTTTCAGACTGAAAGGGTTCCATCTCCTGAGGAAAAGTAATTTAGAAAATTTACCCTAATGATGTAAAAAATTTAACTCTTTATGGCCTTGATGCCTGGTAGCCTGTGACATGCCATAATACACTATAATCTTTTACAAATAACCTGTAATTAAACAAATAAAACAAAATCTCAGTACAAACAAACAGCATGTAGTTAATCCAAACAAATTAAGCAAGTGGGGTCATGGAATAAATTAGAAATGCACAAAGTCATCAGCCATACAATGTAAATGTCATGGTTGAAAGTTAGAGTGTGTCTACTACAGCCACCTCATTTTATAGGTAAGGATCTTTGGGCCAGGAGGATTTCACTTATAAGTCATTACAATAGGTTTATACTTCTGTCCAGTAAAGGGTATTTCTTTCCATTTATGCTACATAATACCTACATTATAGATTGTTAGTTTGGCTGCTATGTCTCAAATACATATTAAAATTTATACCATAAAAGAATTATCCGTATCAAAGATTGTATGATTTCTTTGAAAATTAAATATTAATATTAATCTCCCATATTAAATTTCTTGTACAGTACATTAGAATATCATTCAATAGATAAAAAATCCTATTACATGATATTTTGAAATCTTGTCCAAAAATAGGAAGTCACATCAATGATACACTAACATTATGAAGCACTCCATAATCATTTTCATCGTAAGTTTATTCATCTTTTGGTATTCATGACATGGAATTGACTTTCATGTATGATCTTTTCATTATAAAATTGTCTTTACTCTGTGCTTTAATAAATAGAATTTAGTAGAACGGCATAATTTTTCTTTAAATATATCCTTGTATAGTCAGTATGTAAAAGGGGATAGTGATTTTTCTCTTCCCTTTCTCCCATTAAGGCAGAATTTCATCCGCATAAACTGTTACTGTCATTTGATAGATACAGGCCTGACAGGGAGCTGTGATTCAGTATATCTTCATGGTTGTTAGGAACACAGGTCATATGCTGGTGACAAACAAATATTTCTCCTTACTGTGATGAGACCAACCTGAGAGACTGCCACTCCTTTCTGAGCTGTTGTGAGAGCTGGTGGTGCTGAAATCCTGAGACTGGTTGTGTGGCATTCTATTAGACAATCCCTCAGCCAATCGGTAGTCAGGAATGTAAAGTAAGGCTAAGGGTTAAAGGGCAGAGGTCATAGTGGCATCATGTGATTAGTTCACAGCACAAGCCCATGCAGAACATGCAGTTAGCAACTCAAAAGCAGATGTTGTGGGAGAGTGGAGGAATGTTTTGTCTAGCCTGTCCTAATGGAGGAAGAGATGGATTGCTGATCATTATGTTGAAAAGGAGCTAAAAGATGAAACCGATTGGCGCTGGTGTGTGGTGGTGGTGGTGG